GCCAGAAACTGTAGCAAGCTTTTCGTGATCCTCGGAGGGGTTTAGTCTCCTCGGTTACAATAGCCCTACAGTTTGGACTCTCGTGGTTCTGAATCTGGTTTCACAAGTGTAATGTGAAACAGAAAAAAAAAAAAAAAAAAAAAAGCACAACTGAGAGTCAAAATTTGGCAAATCTTAGAAAATCCATTAATCATCAAAGATGCCAAAAATGGATTGCATTGCTAGATTTTAGAGTTGCCACTTAAATATTTTTGAAAAATCTAGGAAACCCATGAATTGTGCCAAAGGCCACTTGTCCATCGTAACCAAAGTTGTCTCGTTTCGGGAACTTAGGTATGAGAGAGAAAGGTCATGAATAAAGCACCCCCCTCACCCAATCAAAGATCAGCCTCTACTAATCATGATGTGAATTTTATATACATTATATGCTCTTGTTCTGATTATTAATATGCTAACTTACTATGTGAGACACACAAATATAGACTATTTCACTTGCTTTGGAAATGATTTGATTTTATGTGATTTTTGAAAGAGTTTTGAACGTACACAACTCAAAAGGAAAATAATAAGCTCGTACATATATTTGATCAAAATCATCCCCAATGCAAATAAAATAACCTTCATCCGCATGCATTCAAATAGTTTATTTCGAATAAGCACGTAGCCTAATGGTATTATGCTTGATATGGCAACACAAACATACATGCGATATGCTAAAGCAAAAAATGCTTACCTAGTACTCCGAGGTAAGCTAAAGAAAAAAGAAAGTAATTAGAAAAATACATGATCCTAACAATGCATATGACTAATGTAACACATACAACATGCAACTACGAGCTTCGGTCGGTTAACGTGTCATATGGATTAACACAAAGCATGTGATAACGCACGCATTCAAGTAAGTAAGAAATTATAATGACATTCGAGAATGATGAACCGAACCCTAATGCATGCAAAAATGAATATGGAGCATGGTAATGATATAAAACGAAAACATGATACTATATGCAACTACGGTAAGCATATTTGTAAAAAGGAGAAAGAAATTGGGGTTGAAAGACATACAAATATTACAAGTTTGCCCTTGCACAGGAGGGTCCGAAAGATTATTACAAACACAATGAATAAACTACTTAATTAACTAATTGTTACAAGTCCAAATGAAATCAACTAATTAATTATAAACCACAAATATTAAAGCTATTAATCTAATGGATTTGAACGGAAGGGGAAGAACCGCATGTGCGCAACCGAGAACATCCTCCAGAAACCTCTATGTTTGCTGCCAGAACTAGCTCTGTTTGCAGTCAGAAAATTGTTTTGTTTTGGCCTCAAGATCTGCTCTATTTTGCTACAAAAATACCACTGCTTGTACAAAAAGGATGGTCGGCTGGCCACTATTTCTGAGGGATACCCTGCTGAAACAGAGCAAAGCAGAGGGCTTCCGAAAGCTGTTCATCCTTCCTGCTCCCTTCTATCATGGAGATTTTCAAGGAAGGAGTAGGTTTGCTTTCCAAATCATCAATCATTGTAAATTTGTTACATGATGATCATAAGAACAAAAGGAAAAGACTTAACTCCACACAAAAAGTGCTATACATCTTACCTTCTTCCTATCATGAACTTAATCAAGGAAGAGATAGATATGCTTGACTCACAAATCATCAAATCACGAGATAGTACGTGATGATCATAGAGCAATCAAAATGGAAAATAACAAGAATTCAAAAAGTGTTGTCAACTCATCTCTCTACTCATGGAATAAGGATGAAACATCCCTTTCCATGCTTCAAAATGGAACTAGGAGAGATTTTTCAACACTTCTCAAGGAAGAGCTCTCTAGGAGTAACAAAGCAAGTAAGAAAAAAAAGACAAAAAGCAAGCTATCTATCAAAGCTTAAACACACAAATTGCCAAAGTTGTTGACAACTCCTCTTTTTCATGGAGTAAAGATGAGATATCCATTTCCATGTTCCGAAAAATGATCGAAAAGAGAGTTTTTCAACACTTTGAACACGGAAGCTACTACCTAGCTTCAAAGTGGACAACAATAATATGAAAGTAGGAAATTTACACTAGGTAAATGAACTTGTGGTGGGGTGGCTAAGCCTAAGCTCTAATCCTCCCATGACCACAAGGTTCCAAGTTACATAAGGAAAGCCAAAAATAATCAACTCAACGGATTGGCCGCTATATCCTAAACACGCCAAATCCGAGAGGACTTACAACAATACAAATATGATATTTAAAGCATAGAAAGTAAGAGCATAAGTAGCGGGGAGGACTAGGACCCTTTTCTAAGCCCATATTCAAGTCACATCACACAAAACAAGCTAAAAATAGTGCTATAAAGGTACTGAAATTTAACCAAATAAAGTGAAAAGAAAGCAAAAAAATGAAACAAAAACAAAGGGGTAAGCAACTAGTAAGTTAGCCAATGAAAGGGTGGTTAGCTCACTCACTTGTAACCAAGTTTTAATCACATTTTAAGCTCAAAAATAACTCTAAAATTAGTATGGAATGACAAAGAAAAGAGAGAGAGAAGATCATAAAAGAGCTCCAAGTTTACCTCTTGAAAGAGATGGTGAGCTCCTTAGTTCACAAACCACAAGCTAAGCACTCTTAAGAAGCTGAAATTGTATTCTAGAATCTTAGCAAAAGCTTTAAGTTTTAGCTTGTAAGGTGTATGTATAGTGTATGTATATTGCAAGAGAGGAGGGAAGTGTGTTGGACAAGATATGGCTCTTTGGCAAAAAATTTCTAACCCCAAACCATAAGGGGGGTCTTGTATTTATAGAAAAACAACTTCTTATGTCGAAAATATTAGTAGAGAGACAGCTGGTGCAAAGCATGCACATAGGGACAGCTGGCTGTTGCAAAATATTTGTTGTCGGCAAACATGGTCGACCAGCCATGAAGAGGTACGGTCGGCCACCTAAAAATGGCCTACCGGCCATTTGTTGGCCAGCTCTTGTCTAAGTGGTCAAGCTAAAAAAAATAAAGTTTTGGTTCAAAGAGGGTAAGGTTTAGGTTTTAAAGCTTGAAATCGAATCATTTGGCTAAAGAATCGAACAATTGCACAGCGTAACATTTTATCATTGAATGTTTAGAGTGAGGCGCCCAAGTCTTAAGGGCAGTCAAAATGGGGTGTCTACATGTCTACATTTCCTTTTATTGTAGTTATTTTGACAAGCCAAGAGCTTTATATGTATGGGTTCGAAAATTATTTTATGTAACCGAGCTTAAGCTTTGGAATTTGTAGCCCTTGAGAACATTAATTTGTATTTGACTTATTGCGCCACATGTTATATATTCATATTCTAGGAATGTTGAATGTATAATCGCATGTGGAATATTTTTTGTAAATTTCTTAATGTTTAACGAATACAAATGTTGGAGATTTGATGATGATGTCAATGTTGAGACTTTATTTCCGTATACATTAAGCAATGGAAATTATTGAGTTGGAAACAAGATAATGTAATTGGAGGTCATTGATTTGGAAACAAGATGATCTAATGGGAAGTCTTTGAGTTTATATTGTGCAATTTCTTTGGGGCGTTACAAGTACCACGTGCCTTTCGGTTAGGAGCCGATAAAGTAGTGATTTGCTAGTGCTTGTTATGCCTACTTGTAAACACCAGCATAGTGATTACCTGAGTAGTATTTACCACTCCGTATTTAAATGTTGAAATTTACTAAGATGATGAAATTACTTTAAAAGATTAGTGCATATGATTTTTTTTTTCAACAGAGTAAAACTTATGGCATTTAGTGCATGACATGGCATGGCATTGCATTTATACATAAATGAGAATACTAAACATATATACTTTGTTAAGATATCTCTACTGTGATTTGTACTCACCCCTAATGGAATTGTACAGGGAAGGATATGGTAATTCCGCCTACCAAAAGGTAAGGAATATGTTTTGAGAGCACGAGGCTCTTTTATTTTTATTTTATTTTATTGGGTTTTGTTGTATGTTTTGACAAGCCAAGGGCATTAATTGTGTGGATTTTTGGATTACCATCTTTTATGTAACTGGACTTAAGCCTTGGAACTTGTAGCCTTTAGGGCATTTCGTTTGTATTATTTCTTTTGTTTTCACCATCACACATGCTATGGATTCACCCTCTACGAAGCTTGAATATGTATCGCATGTGGACCTCTTTTGTAAATCTCTCACGTGAATGAAATACAAAACATAGAGATTTGATCATTTGAGTTGGGATTATTGTAATTGAATGGATTAATTGCACTTATCATTACGTCATTTATTTAGGGGCGTTACAGTAACAAAATTAAAAACGCAGGGACCAAATTGTTCAAATTAAAAATATGGGGATCAAATTGACACTTCTCTTAAACTACAACAAGGACTAATGGTGTAATTTACCCAAAATGATTTTTTTTTATATAATATATATATATATATATTAGCAAGCCAAATGTGAAAATGAACGTTCTAATGGAATAATTATTCCATTCCATCTCCATTATAGTAAATTAAACACTACCTAAAATTTAATCGAGTCCAATCTTGTGGTTGGTAATCACCCAATATGTATGAAATGAAAAGCTACATGTGCCAGAAAATTAGTGAAGATAAAGCTCTGAACACCCTTGTTACAAAAAATAAAATGTATAATGAGTTTGATTAGCCCACTCTTATTGAATTAGAATTTTTTCAATTAATCACTATTCAACATTACCAAACGTTTCAGGCCATGTATCCATTGGTTTGAGTTTGTTGTTTAAAGTATAAAGGATAACCCAAAATCTCTCTCATGCAAAGAGTACACCTGTAGAATTTTAATTTTTGCTGATATGACCAGTACTACCCATAGCAACCCAAGTTAATTTAACTCCCAAAATTAACATATGACCTACCACATACCCAAATCAGGGTAAATACTTACATTTTTGTACTAATTCCAAAAAATGGACCAAAAAATTTGGGAACAAAAATGTTTGTGGCAACAAGGCACAAGAAATGGGATGAGGGAAAGATTTTGTGAAAAGACATTGATATATCTTGCTAACATAAACCTATTGGAAATTTCAATCACCATTTATTTCCTTAGATTCGAATACAAAACTTACATCAAAAATAAAAAGTTTACACATTTCTACTGCTCCAAAGCTTCGTGAAATTGTCCAAAACAAAATAGTACCAAGAGGTCATGCAAACTTCAATGAGGTGAAACCAAGCCCGTCGCCAATGAGGATTTATGAACAAGACTGCAACAATTCCCATCAACACAATAATATAAGAGACAAGAAAGCTGACATAGAAAACCTCCATATCTATGAAACCACCATATTCCTCTCTATGCAGGACTTTTGACGTTGTTAATGTTGGCAAAATTTTAGTGCAATTGGTTTTTAAGGGAAGTCCACAAAGAAGGGGATTTCCCTCATAGCTGCTTTCTTCAAAAGTCGCAAATTGAGCTTTCTGATCTGGGGTTGGACCTGATAAGTTGTTGTGTGCCACACTGAAGACTTCCAAATTGTTTAATTCAATCAGTTGAGGGATTCTTCCATTCAAATTGTTGTAAGAGAGATCCAAGCTTTCTATCTGCCTCAAATGTGAGAATGTTGTTGGGATTGATCCAGTTAGATTGTTATGGGACAAGTTTAGTGCATGGATGTTGTTTAACTTTCCAACTTCAATTGGGATTTGCCCTGTTAAGTGGTTGCAAGAGAGATCAACTCCTGACATGTAATCAAGAAGTTTGCCTTTATATGAATAGAATCCATACTTCGTTGTGAACCCCACTTGTTGATGGATATTCAAAGATCGGAAGCGATCATTAGCATAATGCAATGTATCATCTTCTCCCAGTGACTTTGACCCATTCACAAAGTCCCACACCGGAAATGCTAATTTGTGCCGCCAACCATTCGTCATTACAGAAGATTTTGTATAGGTTGTCTCAAAAGATATGTCAATCAAGCAATGAGGGACGGGACCAGAGAGGTTATTTTGAGAAAGATCCAATATGGTTAATTGTTTCAACTGGCATAACTGAACTGGAATTTCACCTTCAAAATTGTTAAATTTTAAGACAAGAATGCTCAACATAGAAAGGGTTCCAATCCAACTAGGAATGGTACCACTTAGATTGTTATCACTAACATCTAAAGTCACCAAAGAAGAGCTGTTGAAAAATGAAAATGTCATCGGACCTCTTAGCTTATTTTGATTCAAGTGGACATGTATCATCATACTTGAGCTGTTGAAGCAAGATGGTATATAACCTGACAGGTTGTTCTCCGAAAGGTCTAAGAACTCAAGTTGACCAAGTTTGCATAACTCTATAGGAATAGGACCTTCAAAATGATTTGAGAACATATTAATTCCATTCAATTTGGTCATGTTCCCCATCCATTTTGGAAGCTCTCCAGATAAGTGGTTGTTGCTGATACCAAATACCACTAAAGAAGGAGGAAGAGACATGATATTTGGAATTTTGCCCACAAAATGGTTATTGTCCAAATATAAGTATTCCAACCAAGTTGAATTCACAAAAAAAGGGGATATTTGGTCATACAAATTATTGTTTGATAGTTGCAAGAAGCTCAATAAGGAACAACCAATTACCAAATGCTCAGGTATCTGCCCTGACAAAATATTGTTAGACAAGTCTAATTCCAACAAGGAGTGCATGTCACCTAAAGAAGTAGGAATATAACCCTCAAATCGATTTGTAGACATGTTTAAACTGAACAAATTGGGAAAAAACAAACCTATATTTGTTGGAATTGGACCCTCAAGATGATTGTCAGAAATATCAATTATAGAAGCATAGGGATTGGGATAAGATGGCAAAAGAAAAGGCCCTGTGAAGTAGCCATTTCTTAGAATAATAGATTCTAATCGCGTATTGTTTTCTAACAACCAAACTGGGAACTTTCCCACCAAGATTCTATGTGATAGATCAATTACTCTCAAGTCATATTGGTAAAAGAGAAAATGTGGAAGTTTCATACCAAGCTTGTTTGATCCACAATTTGGTAAACTGAAAACCTGCAGTTGGAACCTAGGAATCCATGTTTGAGACTCAGTTTGGTCACTCAATCTATTGTTGTCACCCAAAAATACCTTAAGCTTTGAATGGTTAAAAAATGAGATGAATGAGGGTGGGATCTTGAAATGATTATATGAAAGGAATAGGTATTCAAGTGTTGTGAGATTAGTAAGTGGAGACAGGGCAAGATTTCCGGTGAACTGATTTGAGGAGAGGTCCAATAATCGGATTGATGTTAAGTCTCCAAAACATGAGGGAAGCATTCCCTTAAAACCATTATCACTGAGATCTAACTCTTGGAGGTTAGAAAGTTCACACCAACCTGTGAAATAAAAGAATTCATGCTTAGCTTGACATTTTATCTACACAAAAAATTAGATAACTCATGGCACATTCACATGGTAAAAAAATAAATCCAAAGAATATGATCAAAGTGTGAATACCTTTGTTAGGTAGGCTTCCATTAAGCCCAATTCCCCGTAATGTCAACACCCTTAGGGAAGACATTACTCCAATATTATCAAGAAAGCTTTGGTTAATGGATGTATAATCCAAGTACAAGTCCTGTAAGTGTTTCAATCCATCCAACCCTGAAAGATGTAGTTTAAGAATTATTCACTACATAGTGCCATGAAAATGTGGTGATCATTACATGAGATAAATAGTTCCTGGATGGACTAGATAAAAGAGAATTGCAATGAGATAAATAGATCCTTCGAGGGTGTCTATTTGTATCGACTAGATAAGGGGAGGATTACAATACAATGGGTTGTTAGTCTCGAGATAAATAGTTCCTAAACTATTTGGCTAAAAATTATGTGTATTTGACTATTAGTACGACATTCACTTTTCTAATTAAACGTTGGACTAGTAAATCTATTGGACATAGAATACAATCCCATGTCTCAATCCATAAAATGAATGCCCTTGAAAGTTACAAAGATGATTCAAATTGTGATAAGTTGATGTATCATGAGCCAATATCTCAAGCCATGTAAGAAAAAGGTAACTGATCTAATAGAGCTTCGTGTTATTATGGAAGGAAAACGTTACACTAAACAAAAATTTGTATAAACACTTTTTACAAATTGAGATGACATACAGGTAATAAACATTACTCATTACATGATAGGAGCCACATCAGTTTTGAATAAAAAAATTTGTAAATTTTAATTGTTTTGTATAACATTACTCTTTACAAAATCTTTTGTATGGGCATTTAATGCTATGTTAGAAGACATTATGGGCTCATTTTGGTGGAAAATAAGTAGTTAAATTTTGGACTTAAGTGAATTAATGCCAATTTAAATTAAGCTTAAGGTCTTACCATTACTCATAACCAATCCTTGCAAGTTTGTCCGTCGGAGGTCCAACGTCTCTAGGGACCATGGTAGCGACTGTAGAATGCTTGCATTAAAATTGTTATAACTCAAGGAAAGAATCTTCAGCTTGTCCAATCTCTTCAAACCTGTTCTTTGAAAAGAACACTGTAGGGTTACCGTTTAGCAAAGTTTATGTTTATTTTGAATAAAAATGAAAACCAAAAAAAAATGTTTCTATACAAGTATTTTCAAATTTTATTTTGGAAACAAGTGAAAGAGATGGTTATTGATGGTTGGAGAAGGTAGTTGTTCGCCATTGGTGGTGGAGGCTGAAGATGGTTGCCACCAGTAGGAGGTGGCTCACGGTGGTTGGAGATGGTTGCTGGCCATGGGAAGTGGCGGCTGAAAGTATTGCAAATGGTCGAAGATAGTGGCCAATCAGCTATCTAATATGGTTTTCAACAAGAGGTGGTGGCCAAAGGCGGTTATATCCTGTTAGAGGTGGTTGGCGACGGTGATAGAAAATTGGTGGCTGAGGGAGGTGGTGGCCATGGGGGAGGTTATTGGCAATGGTAACTGGTAGTGATAAACAATGGACGATGGTCAGAAAGAGTGGAAGAAAGAGGAAGAAATGAACCAAGAATTAAAAAAAAAAATTAAACAATCAATTTTTTATTTATTTATAAACTTTAATTGTTTACAATTTTTTGAAAACAAAAACCAAAAACAAAAACCAAACGAGTTTTTGTTTACGATTTTCAAATATTCTATAAATATAAACATAAAACTATAATTGGATAACAAAAACAAAAAAGAACAATTTTAGTTCCTTAAATATGCGCTCGTTATTATTTTAGTCCCTTAAATTCAATTTTGTTATTTTGCTTCTCAAAGTTTTCAATTAGAGTCAATTTGATTTTAACCCTAACGTTTGTTCACATTAATAATGGGAACAATGTGGATAAAAGACTATTTTAGTCTCTAAAATATGCATTTCTTATTATTCTAGTCTCTTACGTTTCAATTTTGTCATTTTAATCCTCAAAATCATTAATTTTAGTCAATTTGATCCTAACTTCAATCATGTTATGTCACGTGTCTATTTACCTTGAATATATTTTGGCTTTGTCTGGTTTCAATTTTAGAATACTTTGGTTTTGTTTGGTTTGAATTTTAGAAATTGTTTTCATAATATTTTTAAAAAAAATTAAAATTAATTTAACAAAAATAAATATGAAAAACGATAGTTTTGAATTTTTAAATAATATTTTTGCTCTAAAAAAATGTAAATTTACATGAAAAAAATAAGTTTTGGATCTATTTTTTTCACCAAATTATTTTTTAGTTTTTTTCAAAAAATTTCAAAAAATAAATTCTGAAAATCAAATTAAATAGAACCTTTACACCCTGTTGTATTGTATCACCATACACAATATCTTTCTCATTTCTCTCTCTTTTCTGGGTTGTAACTCAAACCCAAAACCACAACTATTATAGGGCGAAAGAGATTAAGGAATTAATTTAACAAAAATAAATATGAAAAACGATAGTTTTGAATTTTTAAATAATATTTTTGCTCTAAAAAAATGTAAATTTACATGAAAATAATAAGTTTTGGATCTATTTTTTTCACCAAATTATTTTTTAGTTTTTTTCAAAAAATTTCAAAAAACAAATGCTGAAAATCAAATTAAATAGAACCTTTACACCTTGTTGTATTGTATCAGCATACACAATATCTTTCTCATTTCTCTCTTTTCTGGGTTGCAACTCAAACCCAAAACCACAACTATTATAGGGCGAAAGAGATTAAGGAATGGTTTGAAATGAGGGTGATATAGCTAAAAAGTTTTTTAAAAAAAAAATCACTAAAAAGACAAAAATTTTAAAAATCATACGAAAATTCTCTCTACTTTTTATACTTTTTCATAAAAAAGTAAAAAGTAATTACTTCCAAACACTTGAACTTTTTTTTCACCTCTACTTCTCAAACCAATACCCTCAAACCAACCCTAAGTAAAGTTGTGGATAGTGGTTGATAGATGAAATTTGCCTAATCTAGAAATGTTCATTTAACCATTATATTTAACAGGGTTAGCCAACAAGGGCTGTCAGTGTAATTTTAAGTATTAAAGGTGCTGACAGTGATATTTGAAGAAAAAAAATTAGAGGGGTGTTAGTGTAATTTACCAATGTAGACGGACATTTACGCTGTGTTTGGTTGGGGGATTTGGGAAGGGAAATGGAAAGGGAAATGGAAATGAAAGGAAAAGGAGAAAGAATTAATAGAATTCCAAATCCCAACTATGTTTGGTTGTGTTGGTTATAAAATAGAATTGATGTCCTAAAAGGTATCCTATTTCTTTATTTATTTCTCACCCCTTTCTTTTCCCATATATTTTTTATTATAACCAAACATAAATAGGATTACATTTCTCATTCCTTTTCCAAATCCCACCGTGTTTGCCTTGGTTTATTGCTTGGAATTGGTTTTCCTCTTCAAAGGTATAAAGTTTTGCCTCTTTACTAGCTTTATTCACTATTTTTGTTGCTATTTTTCAACTATTTTTGGGCTATAAAAATTCTATTTTTTTTGGACTGAAGCTTAGGTTTTAAGGCCAATAAAGGTTGAGGGGTGGCTCACCCTTTTTTGCACCTTTCTTTCAAGGCCTTTTCCCTTGTGTTTCCCCCCTTTACACTATCTTTTTTTTTTTTTTTTTTTAGATAGGGAGTATACAAGCTATCTTAATAAATCTTTTATTTTAAAATAATAAAATCAAGAGCTCCCTTGCATTATTTTTTATTTATAATTTTTATGTTTGTAATGTTTATTTATAATCATCTTTATTAATTTGTTATTAATGATTGATTTAATAAGTTATATTAATACATTTATTTATTTTATTACAACAATAGTATCTTTTATTTATTTATTTATTATTTTGATTAATTTGTTATTAATGCTTTGATTTAAATAGAATATATATTCTCTTACTTGAGACCATAGTTATATGTTAATTAAAAGATACTGTTACACACTAGTTTACACATCCATGGTTATGTGTGAGAGTATAAAATATCTAAACTGACTCATCATTTCAACATTTTGATTAAAAAAACGTATCAACAAATTTTGATTAAAAAAAGGGTCCAGCTTGTCTCAAATTGAGATCAAGACTGGACCCGTCTAGTTTGGCCTATGGGGCCTATTTTTTGGGTCCGTTTTAATAATTTAAACTGTTCAATGTGTAGAACTCGTCGAGTACTACATGCCTGTAAAAAATCACGCTAATCGGATATCAATAGATATTTGATCAAATTAATTTTGTATAAAAAAAATAGACGGTGAAACAATTAACGATTGATAAAAAACTGTTTTGTTCACATAGTTATCGATATCCGATCAACGTGATTTTTTACAGGTATAAAGTAATCGACGAGTTCTACATATTGAACGGTTCGGATTATCAAAACGGGACCCGTGATGGACCCCCACGAGACCAACAGCACGGTCCAGTCCGATCTTGGACTGGACCAAAGCCACTGCCTTAAAAAATAGTATAAATAAGTGTGTAAAAGAATTTAGTGGATTTGGCCGTACATGTTGGGCAGGCTAGTGGGATGAGATGGGAAATGATTGCCTATTTTTCAGGCTTGAATTAGACGGTGTTGTTTAGCCCGTGGGGGCCGACCACAAGTCCCGTTTTGCTAATTGGAATCATTCAATGTGTAAAACTCGTCGAGTACTGTATGTTTATAAAAAATCACGTTGATCGGATATCGATAGCTATGTGAACAAAACAGTTTTTTGTCAACCGTTAATTTTTTCACCGTCCATTTTTTTTTATATAAAACTGATTTGATCACATAGGTATTGATATCCGATCAACGTGATTTTTTATATGCATGTAGTACTCGACGAGTTCTACACATTGAACGGTTCGGATTATCAAAACGGGCCGAAAAAATAAACCCCATGAATTGAACTGGACAGATCCAGTCTTGATCTCAACTTGAGACAAGCTGGACCTTAATTTATTATTATTATTTATTTATTTTATTTGAATTGTACAGACACCTTGTATGACACCACAAGTTGTTACGTGATGCAATGGAATTGGTCTAAGATTGGTCTTACCAAACAGCGTGTATATGTAGAGAGAGAGAGAGAGAGAGAGAGAGAGCCTATGGAGTCTTCCAAGGAAATTGTCCGTTACTCCCAGCCAGGAGTAGACAAACATCGGGTTGAATTTGGGTTGGGATATTATATGGTGTTTATAAAGATTATGTGGTGTTTTAAAAAGTTAAGAAAAGGTTAATTTTTTATTTTTTATTTTTTATTCTTTTTTGTAATTTTTTAATTTTTTTAACATAAAAAAATCAAGAAATTAACTTTCTACAATGTACCCAACACATCCCATATGTGTTATACCAGGCCTGGCTAGGCAGGTTACATCTAATCATTCTAAGTTCGACCTTAAAAAAATATTTATGTTTTAGACTTGTCCACTTAATACAACAAATGGGCTATTAATATTTTTTTTTCCCTCATCTTAAGGGGCTATTGAATTATTTAGACTGTTTTAATAATTATTTGAATTTGAAATATTAACAATTTAATTATAAAATAAATATAATCTTTTAAGAAGTTTTTAATTTAAACTCTTTTAAGAAATAATTACATATGTATTTTTATATTATTGTATAATTAAATAATACAAAAATTAAAATTAGTAATTTATAAATGGGTGGGATGGACTGGGCTGGTCTGGGCTGGGCTAAAACTTTTTATCCTAAGCCTTACTTAAAAATTAAATGTGCTCAAATTTTAGTCCAGCCTAACTCTATAGGCAAGATATTTTTTTAAAATCTTAAAAACATCGAGGTAAGTTAGGCCGGTTGGGCTGGTCATCCATCTCACAGCCACCCAGTAAGTGGAGCACATATATTCAGGGCCTACCCCGAGCATAGCCGCAAAGTCGCCACTTTGGGCACCCAATTTTGTTAATTGTTGACTTTTGGTGAATAGTGTTAACTTTTTAACTTTTTGAGTAACTTTTTAGCTTTTTGACTTTTTTTGAAGTCCCCAAACTTGACCTAAATGTGCCCAAATTTTAGTCTAGCCTAATTCTATAGGTAAGATATT